AAAATAATGACCAATTTGGGCTCACATGATATACATTCACGTTTAGAAGAACAACTGATTGATGGTATTCTCTATGCATTTCAAGAACAGACAACAGAAGATTCGGTGATATTAAATGGTTTTGGTGCTGTTGTAAATACATTGGGAAAACGTTGTAAACCATATTTACCACAGGTATGTGGTACAATATTGTGGCGATTGAATAATAAGGCGGCCAAAGTACGACAACAAGCAGCTGATCTTATAGCAAAAATAGCTAATGTGATGAAACTTTGTACTGAGGAAAAATTAATGGGTCAATTGGGTCTTGTATTATATGAATATCTTGGTGAAGAGTATCCAGAAGTATTGGGTAGTATTTTGGGTGCATTGAAAGGTATCGTGAATGTTATTGGTATGACAAATATGACACCACCAATTAAAGATTTATTACCACGTTTGACACCAATATTGAAAAACAGGTATATTTTTCTCTTTTCTTTTTCTAAATCGGAACTATTATTGGCAGTGTTTCTCTATTTTAGACATGAAAAAGTACAAGAAAATTGTATTGATTTAGTTGGACGAATAGCTGAATTGGGAGCTGAACACGTAGCCGCACGAGAATGGATGCGTATTTGTTTTGAATTATTAGAATTATTAAAAGCACATAAAAAAGCTATCAGACGTGCAGCTGTAAATACATTTGGTTATATAGCAAAAGCCATTGGACCCCACGATGTTTTGGCAACATTGTTGAACAATTTAAAAGTGCAAGAGAGACAATTGAGAGTTTGTACAACGGTTGCTATAGCTATTGTAGCAGAAACATGTTCACCGTTTACAGTTTTGCCGGGTAAGCTTAAAATGAAAATTATTTCTCAACCTAAGCAACTATCTTAAATTGGATACTTTTAATCGTTTATGTTTTTTATATTAGGTCTGATGAATGAATATCGTGTACCTGAATTAAATGTACAGAATGGTGTTCTAAAAGCATTATCATTTATGTTTGAGTATATTGGTGAAATGGGAAAAGATTATATTTATGCTGTAACACCATTACTTGAAGATGCTCTTATAGATCGGTAAATTTTCACTACTTAGTCTAAAATATAGTGATCGTGAATATTTTTCGTGTAAATATTGATAGAAAAAAACTATAAATCCGTGATTTTTGCCACTCAGTAACCAATACCTAAACGCATACATCACTTGAAAAGTCAAATCAAAAGTACTACCTTCTAGTAACATGCCTTGTTACTGTATGAAAGAGTAGATTGTTACTGAAACAAGACATGATAAATTTTTTTTTCCTCCAGTAGATGAGTGTGAACTATCAGCGTATTTTTTCACGTACTTACATAAACACAAGCTCTGCATCTACCATCTTTCTTAGATGGCTTCAGTTCTTCTGGAAGAGTCAGGACACATTGGGAAAACCTTAATATAGAATGGAAACATATTGATCATTTTAAATGTTATGGCAATGTTTCTTTTCAAAAAAATTGAAAGAGCTTGCTGAGAATCTAATTGAAAAAAAAATAAACAATATTGGGTTATTCTACATTACATTACTCAATGAAAAACGGCAAATATATTTTGCCATCGAATAGTTGAGTTTCACCATTCTTTTTGTTCTCTATTAAAAGTTATTAAGAAAAACATTCACGATCACTATATCTTGTAATGAATAGTAATAGTTTATTCATTTAACAAGTCTGTTATCTATTATTATTTATTTTTCTCTCTAGTGATTTGGTTCACCGTCAAACAGCAATGTCAGCAATAGGACATATGTCACTTGGAGTTTATGGTTTTGGTTGCGAAGATGCATTGGCACATTTATTAAATTATGTATGGCCAAATATATTTGAAACATCGCCACATGTTATCCAAGCATTTATTTCAGCGTGTGAAGGTCTAAGAGTAGGTCTGGGACCAGGCAAATTACTTTATTACACTTTGCAGGTAAATAATATTAAAAATTCTTAATAGAAAACCTAGTTGTGTAAAACTACTTTATCACGCTACTAGAACAGCGTGAACAACCTTTAATTTGATCTGCGTTTTTTTGTATATATTTGTTGCTATTTTGCAACTAACTAAATCTTTGTTTTAATTTTTATTACAGGGTTTATTTCATCCAGCACGGAAAGTTCGAGATGTTTATTGGAAAGTATATAATACATTGTACATTGGTGCGCAAGATTCTCTTATTGCAGCCTATCCACGGATTGTGGACGACATTAGAGGTAGCGAACTTGAAGGAATAACGAATGGTAATTCTGTTTCTGTTAAAACGGAAAAATCTGATGAATACAGAAATACTTATACGAGATATGAACTCGATTATGTTCTGTAATGGTTTCGTCGCCGACTCCTCTTCTATGCCAAAATGAAACTTACTGTTTTGTTTGCTTCATCAAAATAAACCAAACGTATGTATGTGATTGAAAAAAAATACTAACCTCTTTTTTTTTTTTTGTCATGTATGTTTATTTTATTTTATGTGAGATAAATACATTCAACTTTGAGTAGCATGAATTGATACAAATACACGACTTAAAGTGCATTTGTTGTTGTTGTTATGTTTTTTTGTCTACATGTGTGTGTATACGGTGTTTTTGTCTATTAATTTTTCGTGTTTTCTATTTCATAAATAAATGAAATTAAATATATTCTTTTCATAAGATGTAAATTATTGCAACCGGACAGATTTTCCGTTATTTAAAACAACAATTCATCGTTTTCTCGGTAAACATTATTCTTACTTTTCTCTTAAATCTCTAATGGCTTCATGATAGACGAGTTTTAATTGTTTTGTTTTTGTTTTGTATTTTTCTTGAGATTTTGTTATGTTAAACATACAAATCATGACTATGGAGCGGAGCTATTTCAAATGAAGATGAATTTCAGCAAAAATTTCTCTGAATTTACGTTGTCCACTTGTCATTAATCTTCGAGACCTTTTGTCTGAATAGAAAAAAATTGAATCATAATGTTATTTTTGTCCTTTTTAAATAATAAATGATCAATGTAAGCTATTTCTTGAAACTTCTCTAAATATTTGTTGACTGTCCATTCGACAAAGGTAGAGAAACACTTTCAAATAGCATCGTATAACAAATAATCATTCTGACGTATTCTTCTCATTTATACCGTTTGGTTTTCATAAAATGTTACAATTTAAAATCATGCGAACAAGAACTATGGTTAAAAGTCGTTCTCATAATTTCTTATGAAGTGTTTCACACATAACCAAATGGTCAAATATTGTGAAAATTACAGATTAATTCTCACTTAGTTTGATAATGCTAACGAGTAAGTAAGATGTTCATTGAACTTTGTTGTCTTCTTATTGTTTAAAAAGTCCATTGAATCGATACATCTTCTGTAATTATAGTGGTATAGATCAGATTCATCGTTGTTTTTATAAAGATTAACAGATCATCATTCATTCTAGAATATCACAATGAGAAAGAAGTAAACATTATACTTTTCTATTCTTCTAAACTCAACGAAAAACGAATTTAACATGTATATTGATTCTATATTGTTTTAATACCATGCCAATTTATCGATAGACAAGAAAAAACAATTTGGAGATTATACATTAGAATAAGCTAGCTGAGTTGATATTGGACTTTTTATAGTCTTGATGTCACTATATACAGAAGGTTAAAATTTAGTTGTCTATTACCATTATTAAAATAAGAATCAATTTGCAATATTTATGAATGAATATTGTATTTTCTGAACAAGTATAGTTAAACTTATTGATCACTGCTGCAGTCTAGAGCACAACATATTTTCTCAGCACCATAGACCTTGGTCTGCTTGCTTAGTCAAAATTTGTTTTAACTATCTTTTCTTAATAAACAGGATTAGAACTACATTGTAGTTAAAAATGTAAAAGGCGAATTTTTATTTTTTATTCGTACTCTCAGTTAGTCTATGTTTTTGTTTAGATTTGAAAGATGATTGATTCATCTTCGACTAAAATATAAATATCAAACGTAAACGGTAATGCAAAAAGAAAAGAAGCAAAATATTAAAAAAACAATTGTTAACTCGTTCTCTATGTACTTTTTAGTGTCTTTTTTATTGTTTCTTTGATTCAGTAAAGACAATTTGTATAAATTGCAGATAGTGAGTGTCATATTTTCGTAGAGATTATCAAATTAATTATCATATATGAATGTACGTCTTCTGTTTTTAGAAAATGTATTTTCGAATGATGAGTATAAAGTTTCATTTGACATTAATTATGAAAAAGATTTAATAAAATACAGATATGGTGGGATGATCAAATAAACTACTGACGATTAAATTTCATTCATCAATACCCAAATTGATCGGTAAGCTAAAATATTATTTAGCTCAAATGTTTTAAACACTGTGATTTGTGTAAATTGACTTCTCTCTTTATTTTTTTTAAACATACTGTTGCAGTAGTATGCATTTTTCTCGTACTTGTACTTTTTTTAAACGAATGAGATTCTTCATTTGACTAGGTTAATAACTTTAACGCTCTCTTTCCCAAGATCGAGTTTTTATACTCTTATGAAAATTTTTCATTTTTTTTTCCTGTTTGAGTATCTGCGCTCACAATGAATATTTTTAAAAAAAACATTATTTTTACAGTTCCGTTTATCTTGTTGTCCCATGATATTCAAAACTAAATGCAATGTTGTTTTCTATTTAGAAACTTGCCTTTGTTCAGTAAACATTGGAATTTGTTGAAGTTTATAGGGTAAAAAGTGCTATATTACCGTTCATATTTTAGAGACTGGTCGCTCTCTCTCTCTCTCTTTCTCTCTTATTTATATATGTTTTTATTAGCTCAAGCTAAAATTTCTGAATCTGTTGTTTTGTCAACACTATTCGTTTGTATTAATTGGAATACGTTAAGTTTTGCATGTTGTACTTTATTTAAAATAAAATATTTTGTTGTTCAATAAAGTATTTGTTGTTGTTGGTGTTAGTTTTAAGTTGTAATTACACACATACACAAAAAAACATAACAACAACAACAAATGCACTTTAAGTCGTGTATTTGTATCAATTCATGCTACTCAAAGTTGAATGTATTTATCTCACATAAAATAAAATAAACATACATGACAA